TTGCTGGGCCCACCCTTCTGTTTTTGTACCGCACTTTGAGAGGGATTTTGTATTGTTTTACGTAAGTTATTATAGAGGGAGAGACCGACCACATGAACACCAATAAGTCCATAACCAATTGAGTTATATTTGAACTTGGATTTCATTTGATTAGACACTATTTTATGACAATATATTGATAAAAATAATTTTAGGCAATTTAAAGCCAAATATATGAAAATATGAAAAGTTTCCTCACTTCTGAAACCGGCACTTATTTGAACTCTTGTGCCGAGTGTTAGTCATTGACAAAAATGGTTTGCTTTGTGGAACCCGTGCTGACATCTAGTGATAAGTCTTTTGCATTAAAATTCACAATTTAGACAATATTATAACAAGATTTTAATCACTAGATGTCAGCACCGGTTCCACAAAGCAAACCATTTTAGTCAATGACTAACACTCGGCACAAGAGTTCAAATAAGTGCCGGTTTCAGAGGTGAGGAAAATTCCTGTTTTGATACATGGCTTTAAAATCGACCCCAAAGTCAAACCTTAATAAGCGGTCATTTTTATAAATATTTTATTACATGTTTCCCTAATCACTAGATTTCAATAATTATTTCATACAAAAAACTAGACATATGGAACTTTATCTTACCTTTTACAGATTTGACCTAGCTCTTCTAGTTTGGGAGTAATAACAAGCCTAAATTTTAAGTTTGAAACTGTTATATGATATAACTTATATCAATCGATGTATAAGTGATTTGGTTTTAAACTATGGTTAAAATTTAATAAAACTTTTAATTAAAATATTTAGTATAAGAAATAAGTTATAAATCAATTATAATATTAATATTAAATATATTTCTCTATTATTTAACAAATAAAAAGATTAATGATTATTCCGTTATTAGGATTTAAAATAATACTTTTGTTTATATTTAAAAAATAGTTAAATTGTTTAACAATTACTTAATTAATATAATAATATAATAAATATTCATATCATACTTAAGATAAAAATTACAACTAAAATAATTAGTTTAAAATATAATAATATATTTATAATAATAGAATACAAATTCATTATAACGTTAATAATTGATAACTAAATTTGGCATTTGATTGCATTTCAAAATAAATGGTTATTAATTGGTATCTAATTGTTGGAGAGTTTATCCACAGCCGTATCCATTGCTAGTCATAACCGGTTGAGTTCACAGGTGTCCGTGTCGTCCATCAGTAGATTCACATCACAATTGTTGCCCCGAATCGATGCAGACATCGAGGAATTGGAGCTATAAGTGTGCGAAACAAACGCATCACAAATCCATTGCCAAAACAATTAACTAAATCTATTCAACGCATACCTTAAAGAAGCGGAACTTTGGGGCTTAACTTTGAGGAATTTGCCAGAATTGGTGTCTATACGAGTGACGAGTTTCAATGATTTGGATTTGGGTTTACGGTATTTGAGATTTGATGTATTGGTTCGCATTTTGTCCATTAGATTCATGGAATCCCTGGTGTTCTCAATGGGAGCGATGGAGATGTCGCGAACGGCTCTGAATTCGCCGCAATTGTTTAAGTGCTCGTTTTCCAGACGGAAAAAGTTCCACACAAAACGACTGTTCCGTAAATATATTAGTTATTTGTTTAATAATATTAACTCATTGTTTAGTTTTTGTCGTTTACCGAAACAACTCGAGCGGCGCTAATATAGAGGTGACGATCTCCGAGTGAATCACTCCCACCTCTTTCAGTGACACCGATAGCGTCCATCCGAAGCGCAGGATTAGGTCTTCGATGATCGCGAAGTAGTAATAGTTGGGCGACGAGTAGACGATCTCTTCGCGCAGAAACGGGTACTCTTTGGACGGAGAGTTCGGGTCGAATAGACCCCAATCCATCTTCACGTCCCACACGTATGTATAGCACGCGTTCACAATCATTGATATAATCCATAGATTAAAGTATGGATTGGAGAACGAGTGGTCGTAATCGTCTGAAAACGAGAACATTTATTAAATAAGTTTACCATTAATTGAATCAAATAACTAAAAGCACTCACTTGTGGTCATAACAGTGAGCGTTGAGAATATGACCACAAAAAAAGTGGTCGAATATTTGCCGGCATTGACCACATGTGGGAAAAGGCCTCTCCTGTCGTCTTTGTAACGGCGCAGACACTGTGCGAACCGAAACCACGCCGGAAGACATGCCACGAATGTGCGGATCAAGAGATCAGTTGTCGTACTCGTTATACAACAGTCGGACGACGTCTCTGTTGTGTGAAAAACAAAATTTCCATTTAATATATGACAACAAATTGAATGGAAAAATATTATTCAAATAAAATGATAACATTCTTGTTGTTTAACACTTGACTAATAAAAGGCAATCGACTGACGGATTGATAGATAAATATTTACCAAATTCTTTGTGAGATGTAATCGTATAGAAGTTGAAATAATAACAGATTAGAAATTCAAAGTCCTGAAGAACGGGAACTATTGAGTTGAGCTGATCCGCGAGCCAGAAGTCGGCGAACTCGACCTTTACAAACGGCGCTCTGATTACCCGAATCTATCATATCATCCAAAATATGTCAAAATCAATACAATTGATAACATATTTCTAATATCGTTGAGAATGCATACCAAGACCTTCAGGAGCCAAAACCTGGCGCTATGTCTTAGAGTTCGCGTCGGATTAATCATAAATAATACCATAAAAAATACCAAAAGCAAAGGAAAGAGATTCGCGTTTATCGATAAGATATTGGGTGAGAATAGATAAGAGAGCACTGATAGCGACCACAACACAGCAAATATGGCGGCGATCTCGAAGAAGTGCTGTTCAGACAAGTGGTCCCTCGGATCCAATTCAAAGATCAATACGTGATTCACACCAGACGTTCGCCAACCGTAGACATTGATTCCGATCATAAATAAAAACACAATTATCATAAGCGGACCGCGGAATAGACGGACCACTACTGGCCACTCGTGTCCCAACTCAACCAACATCGCTGTTCACAGAAAATACTGTTGTTATCGTTTGCAATGAAAACAAGTGATTAGTAAACAACTCACAAACAATCATAACGTTAAATAAGAGGACAACGAACGCCCCCAAGAATATTCCCACTCTAAATGTGGTCCAAACGGATTGGTGTGCATTAAGCGGCGGAACTCGCAATCGTTTCATCGCCTTCTGTCGGTCGCCGGACTCCAAGTGAGTGGTGAAGAGGTTTTCGGTCTCCAACACCAACTGATTCACCTCATTGTTTGTGTAGAAGTGGGAGACCTCAACATTGGTCTGACGCCACTCCAGACCCGAGTTTGTGTTCAATAGTTTGTCATGTTTTTTGAGAATTTTGCGAAAACCCGTAAAATTAAGGTTTTGATAGTTTTGCAGTAAAACGAGTGCCAAATAAAACTCAGAAAAGGCTAGTTTGAGATCATGTAGTTTTCGGCTCACTTTCCTATCGATGTTCAGCCGATCGTTATTTTCATTGATTACCTGCCGATCAAACAGACCAAACAGTTTGTCGTCCTTTTGCTTCATTTTGTCTTTGCCTTCAAATGCAAAACAATACAAAACTTTTAATAATATATTAAAAATAAGTATTTTTATTCTTTATGTTTAAGAACTTCTTTGTTCAGCAAAACAGATAATGAATGAGATTTTAAACTTGATATCAATGCCAACAACTAATTGTTGTTTTGTGGGGACAGTGGGTGTCATTGGACTCATAGATATCATACCGTTTTGCCTTAAATGTTGACTGGAGTTGAGCTCAGACTTGAGGTCACCGAACCGTCGAATAGCTTCGGCCAACTTTTCGGCAAAGAATGTATTAATTTTAGACAATTCTTGTTCACAATATGTGAAGAACTGTTCGTCAAACTGCTTGATATACTGATTGGTCTCTTCATCGATAGTAACGGTGGTCTCAATGCTGTCGATGGTGTTGACGGTGTCGTGAAGTTCTTGGGCGTCGTTCGGGCACTGATCCATCGCTGAGTACAACATCTCTTTCATATTCTGCCGTATAATACATATCGTGAGAGTGAGTGAGAGAGTGAGTGAGTGAGAGAGAGTGAGAGAGAGAGAGAGAGAGAGAGAGAGAGAGAGAGCATATTGTGGGATAATGTGGTTCTCATGAGTGGCGAAGACATACCTCGTAAGTGATGTACTGTTTCCTCCATTCAGGTGTGATGTGTGCCGACAAATGTTCAGCAAATTTCATGATTTAAACGATTTGTGTCTCGATTTACGGCTAATTAACATATAATTAATTGTAAATTAAGTATAAAATAGAGATTTGTTTTGAGAAATAAGTTTGAGATTGAAGTTGTGTTTTGAAATGAATGGTAAGTCATATGACATTTGATTTAAAGCACAGATTCTGTGAACGCATTGAATATTGTGTTCATTGGAGGCAATCATTGGTTCACTCTTTCCATACACTCTCTGCCACTCGTCAGCTGTTGTCAACATTCAATGCTATGTACACTACATTCACATTACACTATACACTACACATACTGTACACCATATCATCTCATATTCATACAAACACAACAACTTTGTTCAAATCATGTTCACTAAAAACTATTCATTTCCCTTATGTTAAGCAAGAAAACAGGCAAAAAAGTTGACAACAATAAGATATATTTATGAATACAATGTTATTGACACCAAAATGCATATTAACTCTCGCAGTCATGCCTTTCACACGCTTTTCAATCTTAAGATATTTACAAAATAGCGTATAAAGAGTGTACGTGTAGTGAATGCACACATTACACGTACTCTACTGTATAAGTATTGGTTATGCAATCATTAATAAACTATATTAAACTATATAAAGTATATAAAATTCACTTAATACAAGTATAACTAGACCACCCGTCAATCATAATTTTGACCATAATTAATATCGGTCTCTCTCTCTCTCTCTCTCTCTCTCTCTCTCTCTAGAATATTGTGTTCATTGGAGGCAATCATTGGTTCACTCTTTCCATACACTCTCTGCCACTCGTCAGCTGTTGTCAACATTCAATGCTATGTACACTACATTCACATTACACTATACACTACACATACACTACACTACACCATATCATCTCATATTCATACAAACACAACAACTTTGTTCAAATCATGTTCACTAAAAACTATTCATTTCCCTTATGTTAAGCAAGAAAGCAGACAAAAAGTTGACAACAATAAGATATATTTATGAATACAATGTTATTGACACCAAAATGCATATTAACTTTCGCAGTCATGCCTTTCACACGCTTTTCAGTCTTAAGATATTTACAAAATAGCGTATAAAGAGTGTACGTGTAGTGAATGCACACATTACACGTACTCTACTGTATAAGTATTGGTTATGCAATCATTAATAAACTATATAAAGTATATAAAATTCACTCAATACATGTATATATGCATTAAAGTGGATGCACTGTATTGCTAGCCCTTTAACAGTTAAAGTACAGCTCATATGATATGATAGGATACTGTAATGACATCTTCACAGCACAACACATGCATTACGCAAACCCAGCGATGGTTTGCAATACAATCAATACATAACTGAAGTTATGATTAGATATCCAATACCTGAATATAAGACGAGTACTCGAGTATTGATATAATGTTCACATTTTAATGATTGCCTCTTATATAAGACATTCAATTAAATAACAATTTTGTTTATCGAGTATTAATGAGAAAAATAGTGACAAAATTGAAGTTTACGCAAAAAAGCAAACATTGAAGTCATGAGACGGCGCTTCCCTTCCCATAACATCCGCTCTCTTCTAACGCTAGACTAGTGTTGAGTCTATTCTGTATTCATATACAGAATATTCAATACTTTGAGCGCACAGTTAGGCATCAAAAATACACCACAAGTTATTTCTATACAATAATACATATACTATAATAACACACACTATCTCTGTGTGTATTGCTGTAAATGTAATGGCAAACAACAACTACTACTAACCTATTATTTATGATTTCTTATTTAATTTTTAAATATAACACTGTTTTCAATGGAAACTTTTTGAAAATCTCTCTAAAAATAGTGTTAAATAACAGAACTGTGTTTAAGAAATGTATGTATACTATGGTATTACATACTTTTATTATGTATACTATCATATACTGTGTATAATTTCAATACAAGCTATGCATTCATTACATATTTAAATTTGTTCACGTATTCAATTGAGTTTATATAACATTATGATAAATATTTTTCCGTATAATATAATGCATATAACTGTAATTATCGGAGATTTTTATTTTTTGTTATACAAAAAATTTAATCTATTTATTGAACACTTGAACACAATCTAAAAGTTTATAAAACACTTCCACTTTTACTGCAATTACTTTTTGGCAAAAGAATAAAATAGTATTAATACTGGATATAGTTTTATAAATATTAAATATATTTCGTTATAAATATTTAATGAGAATTAATCAGAAATATTACAGCAAAAGATGGTTTACTCAATACATTGGCTGTCATTTTATAAGTTATGACAAATATTATACAGACATTGGAAATACAATTTCTCTATTTTTCATAAATTGAAGTTCAGATCAATCATAACTTCACTGAAAACCTAACACATAATAATATAACAATACATGCATTACTAAAAACCATCACTTGTTTAAAGAGAAATTAATTCTATGGAAAAATTTCAAAATTCATAAATCATTTGATAATTTACGGGAAATTATAGAAAGTTATTAATCACATAAAACAATAGCATAGCATATGATGAAAATGAATTCAAAAATACTAACCTTTTAAATATAATAAACTGATTGTCAAATAAATTCCAAGTGAAAAAATAATATAATAACCAAAGTTTGCAATAAAATAGTTGCTAAAACTTGAGCATAAATTGATATTAAGTGTATTGTCTTCAATATTGGTGAAGAGATAGATGTATTGTGTTTGGAGTCAAAATTCAAACTCAAATCATAATCAGTAATCAGTTTTGAGTGAAATTCTATAAATGAGTATTTCTTCACTCAATTATCAAATGTTTACTCAAATAGACTCGCAGTTAGTGTTCAATAAATATACTGAAAAACTTATAAACTCTTATAAACTTTTTGTTTGATAGAGTTTTCATGTGTGATGTGAACAGTGGTTGTGAACAAATTGCTGTTCCGAAGGCCAAACATATTAGATATTAGAGTAGAAAAAATATTATATTTGTTTGTCTTCTGTTTCAGGGGTTCACTCATATGTTAATAAATATATATTCAAAAAACACAGTTATTTCATAACGTTAATAAAATGTCATTGTTTTAAATGTTTATTACATAAGAAAATCAATAAATATACAACAAAGACCTCGATTATAATGCTTGAAATACATATATAATTCAAAAATAAAATTAATTATTCATTCAGCGAAGAATAAAAAACAAAAGGCTTTACATAACTTATAGCCAAACATACGGTTAACTTATATAACCAAATAAATGAGAGACAAATTGTGAAAAATAAATATTTAACATATTTAATGAGTATTTCGTGTAAATCTCTATTTTATTTAAATTAGATTTGAATTTTCTTTTTTATTATTATTCGTTATTCAATCGCATTATTATTGGTATAAAAATTACATAATTATACAAATTGTCTATTTTTTGTGACAGACCAACAGATATAATACAATTTTAATAATAATATACACCCATTTCGGCGGAGAGTGTCATATAAATTGTAAATAATATTTGCGTTCACTTATTCTCAGGTGTGATATACAAGTATAACAGGCTTTTTATGAACACATAATTACGGGTTTTAAGGAAACAAAAATTATTGATATATTCTATTAACTCATGAGTTATTACATAACACAGCGATTCTTATGGCCGTCCAATGAGGACAGTATGTGTGTTGAGGGCGTTGTTCACCAAATCATAAAAATTTATTTAACGGTGTATTTCTTACTTACCTTTCTTTCTGCCGTAAAAATTATTTTTATTATATAATAAATTATCATTCAATTTGTTGTGTTTGCCTAAACCATCGCTTTTTCCTATCAATAAGTTAATAGTGAATATCGTATTGACTATTAATGGCACAAATTCAAAGGGGTTCGGGTGGGGGCATAGAATTGTCAAAATGGCTCCAGGTATAATTCTAATAATATAGACCCCATTGGTATTATTGTCCTCGTATTAATGGGCATATGTTTTACATTAATATATAAATATTATTATAAATTATTTTTCAAAAAAGTTATTTATTCTGAAAACCCTTTTATCATTTAAATGACAGTTATTTATGTCAGAGTCCTATCGTTTACTGTTAAATAAAAATAACATTATTTTTCGACAATATTTCTTGTGTCTTATGTTATGGAGTGTATAAAGAAATGCTTGATTTCATTGCATTCCTATCACTCATATAATGGATCGACTCGTTGTGAACATTAAAATAGAGACCATAATTATTAGCCATACGTTTCTTTCAAAACAAACATCAAACTCACTGTCTGTTCGCCTCATTATCTTCTCTCTCTCTCTCTCTCTCATATTACTCTAATTAACACATTCATGGCATGTGTTGTCATTATATTCGGTTTTCATGGCTCTTAATATTGACTATTCATTTCCCTTATGTTAAGCAAGAAAACAGGCAAAAAAGTTGACAACAATAAGATATATTTATGAATACAATGTTATTGACACCAAAATGCATATTATCTCTCTCCGCCAGTCAACCAATGATTATCTCTACTTTTGAAAGAAATTGATTCATACAATTGCCATTGGATTCATTAGAAATTGTATTTTTCTTTTTTTAATAAATAATTATCACATGGTATTTATGGTAAATAATACTAATATGTATATAAATATTAAAAATTTAGTTTTGTTTGATTGTTATCAATGAAAGAGCAACAATGGGTGGGTGTGGGTCCGTAACTACTGGGTCCGCCACCGTTGCCGCCGCCAATCGGCTCAACCAGATATGTAATGAGTGCTTCAGAATCTTCTTTTGTAGCACTCAGTTGTGAGTTCACTAGAAATTCATGAAAACATATTAAATATAATAAATAAACTTAAATTTATTTCAGATTTAAGTAAAAAACAAACAAAAAAATAATCAGCGATTCGTTTAAATAAAACAAAAAGAAAAACTGCATAAAAAACACAACTAAAAAGGCAGAGAAAGGAGAGTAAAAACTGAAGCATTGAATCAATAAAATATTCAAAGAAATCTCTTTTGCGTGCTTTTCAACGACAAGAAAAAGAGAAGAATATATCTCTTGTGTTGAAAAACACAGCGGAAAAGATGTGTCTCATTAGCCACTAATCTAATAACAAAAATGATAAGAATCTCATATAAGGGTAAAACACGAGTGCAAGAAATAGTGAAAAGGTTTTGCTTTTAATTCTATTATTAATATAAAATTTTTGTGTTTTATATATCAGGAAAAAATTTCAAATGAATTAAAGCGAGAAATTCTTTTTGTGAATTAATAACTGAAGAATAATTAGATTAAAAGCAATGCAAAGAAAATGAGCAAAAAATGCAATATTAAGAGCCGTGAAAACCGAATATAATGACAACACATGCCATGAATGTGTTAATTAGAGTAATAAGAGTGAGAAATACCCGCATAGCTATATATATGGAGATCACTTTTGGGATGCATTTTAGGTGTCATCCGCTTAACAGTGGCGTATTGTCCGCATTCACTCACTTTCCTAACGGTTCCCGTATTGTCGACAAACTCGAGATTCTCGTCGATCTGAGTGGTGGCGTACGGCGTGGGAAAGTATAGACACTTCTGGCTGTTGTTGTGCGGCCTTTGATATTCACTACCAGTGGTGGCAGTCATCGGATTACGATTAGCGCTATTAGTTGTCGTCTTGTTATCCATATCACACAGATTGACGCTATCGTCACCATTCAGTATATTCTGCTTACCATTACTCATACGACTGTTATTTGCTATCATTATATGTGAGACACAATTTCCAACAGATAAGAGAGGAGCCAATAAAATATCTATTAAATAGCGATTCGGTCGCAGACTTACAGCTATGATATGTGTCGTTCGGATGCCGTCTGTGTATAACTACACACACCAGTAGTGTTACGGCCACTACTACTATACCGCTCAGAGTTAACGGTAATATCACCTCAAACTCTAACAGTACTGATGTCTTGTAGTCACTCAATATCACCGCTTCCTCATTGATGTCGGGGTTTATGTTATCTATAATGAAATGTAGAGATAATTAACACATGTTTTTAATAATGTTATAATTAATTGTTTAATAAATACATTGTTAAAATAATATTAGCATTGTTATTCATTGGGACAGTTTATGCCTTATTATAGGAATTTTAATATTTAAATAATATTTAGTTCGCAAGACTGGGACTTAATTTACTGTAAAATTATTATTGCGGAGCAGAATATTCTGTTCGTGTTTTTTATAAGTAAATTCAAAGATTTGCTTTTCTTCGCAGCAATGCTTTGGTGTACAAAATCATTATATTTTTCAAAAATCCCAATAACCTTATCTACACTTTTCGCATAAGTTTAATATTAAATATTTGGCAAAATTTAATATTGACTTAAACATTACATACTGTGAGAAACGGTACTGTATATCGCTTTTTGGAATTCAAATATTCTTTCAATATTTTAATATATATTTTTTCAGGTAAATAAAAATCAGAAATTCTCTCTCCACTCATACAATACTTGCGTTAACTTATATAAACATTATATCATTCGCTGACTCAACACTTCTCTTATATTCTTTATCAGTCCTCTCAATGGAATTCTTGTGCAAAGAATATTCTGCTCTCAATAATAGGCGTGAGAGGGAGAGTGAGTGAGTGAGTGAGAGAGAGAGAGAGAGAGAGAGAGAGAACTGACAGAGATTTTTTGTAACAAAATTATGGTATAAAATGGTTATTATATTTGTCTCGACGGCTATTAAAACTGTCCGAAAAAATTAATGTTATATTATGGGAGACCCGATAGTTAACATTTATGCTGCTTTGGAATGAAAAACATCAGTGAAATAGTTGTTCCCTTAAGTGAATTTTAAAAGAAAGTATTTAAGTTTTTTCAAAAAGCACACGAGTTGTGTGGGAATAGCTTTCCATAAATTATATTTGTATGAATAGTCAAAAATGATTTAAATCTTCTAATGCTCCGAAAATTTATCATTAGTTTTTTATATGTATTTTATTCTTAATAAAAATCTATTGCTTTTTTCATAACAATGGAAAATTTTATTCTGGTATAAGAAATAATCCTTTAATTCATTATAAGATGTTATTATTATAATAAATATAAAAATTGAATACAATGGGCATTGATGTGCAAATTCGTTGTAATAATGAGTGTACACTACTGTATTAATACTCTACTCTATATAGAAATTTTATATAATGAGTAAAGCTGTTCAGAATATGTTTTTAAATATATTTACCAGTTAGAGATACATGTTTAGGATTTTGGGGGCAAACGAATTACATAATAAGGGTCATTTTAACAAAGTTTTATTTTAAATATAAATACATATTTGACTTATAAAAAAATATAAATAAATATTTGGTAATAAAGCATAAAAAACACTAATTTACTTGTAATTCATGGCTTAAAATGTCTAAACATATATTAAATGGTAAAATAATTCATTAAAGTTTGTTAATAATGAATCAAAACAATAATAAATACTTGTATGACATTTTGTAATACGTAATGATGGGTTAGTATATTATTAGTTTGACTTGGAAACAATTGATATAATTTAAATATATATTATGTCTTTAATTTACACTATTTAAATAGGATTTAAAAGGCTACCGAACATTTCTAGCTTAATATTACGTGATTTTGTCGATAGAATACATTAATTAGAATTTTTATAGAATATTAAGATTTATAAATAAATATTTAAGTAAATATTTGACCCCTTTTTAGTAAATATATAAGCACATATTTGACCATTTTTAATAAATATTATATAAAATATTTGACCATTAATAAATACATATTCTGAACAGCTTTAATAATGACTAGTGTTGTCACGAATGTAACTTACATATCTTACCGACGTAATTTACAGTAAATTACACGTAAATTACAGCAAAATTTGAATCTTACATGTAACTTACAAATGACCATTACTTGTCATTCAGCCAACACAACTTTTTTTCAAACACTACCAGAGAGTCCTCAACTGTTCAGTCGTTGGACAAGTAGTATATCAGAGAGTTGTGGTACACGAGAGCCAGAGTGAGAGCGAGAGAGACAACCGGCATAACATAGCATACAAAAAGCTAACTTTGATCTGTCACTAGTCAACCACTCGGTGTGTGCCCTCACTATACCAACCGCTCGCCTATTATGTCATTGTTTAAGGACCTCCTCTTCACTTACGATCCCCTCCTCTTCCTTAGCAAAGAAGTTAAGAATCTTTGTTCCAAACAGTCATTAAGTCTCATATCGTATAAAATATACGCTAATTATTGTCGCAAACAGTCTTAAAAAACTTCATATTTCTTACACTTATTATAAAAGCTTTTTAACACTTTAGCGTTTATATCCTAAAAGTCTATGAATTGTATGCATAACACAATGTATAATATCCTTCCGTTCAATTTAATTAATTTAAGATTAAATGAATAATTGATTAAAATATTGTAATTTAATGAACGGAAAATATACACAAATCTAATTATAACTAAAATATATGCAAATTCGGAAAAATCGCAAATCATTACTAAATATCATTAGTTATTCAGTCATTGCATTGCAATTCATTTAACACTTGTTGACAAAAAAAATAACCGCAAAACTATTTCCTAAACCATAAATAAACAGTAAAAACACCTAAAATACAAGAATAATATTATTTTAATTCAATTATTAATACAAATAAAAGTAATAAAAAAGATTATTCATAAGAATTAGAGCACAAAAAGTTTGCCATTAATATCCTATAGGTTTTGCCGGCTATAAAGCAAACGCTGATAACGTGTGTCTGTAATGACTATACGATCCCTAAAATCAATGTTTTCACAATAAAGACAGCGTTTTTGGCATTCATTTCATTATTAATTTAAATTGTTTTTTGTTTTGATTGTAAAACAAATCAATTGTTTATGTCTTTGGATTCAATTTGAGACCAATCGCAGCGAACGCATCACATAATGGTAAGTGTGATGACGAGGATTGGGCTGTAATTGTGTGAATGGGTTGTCCTAATGGTTGTCTCAATGTGTAGGCGATGTCCGCGACGGCCGAATCGGTGGTGACGGGCAAGACGTGGGAACTGTCTCTCTATGAGTTGCACCGATCGCCACAAGAAGTGGTGACCGACACCACGGAGATAGCGGTGTCGCCGCGGAGTCTGCACTCGGAGCTGATGTGTCCGATATGTCTGGATATGTTGAAGTGCACGATGACCACGAAGGAGTGTCTGCACCGCTTCTGCCAGGAGTGCATCATAACGGCGCTCAGGAGTGGCAACAAAGAGTGCCCGACGTGTCGAAAGAAGCTCATCTCGAAGCGGTCGCTCAGACACGACCCCAACTTCGATATGTTGATCTCCAAGATCTACCCCTCGCGCGACGAGTACGAGGCCCACCAGGAGAAGGTGTTGGCCAAACTGAACAAGCACCATTCCCACAACTTTGTCAACAACATCGAGGAGAGTCTTCGCATACAATCACTCAATAGAGCCCAACGTATCAAGAAGTTCAACGAAGACGGCTTCGATAGGCCCGGTATGTGTGCGAACAGCTCTCTGTCACACACAACTTTGTCAACAACATCGAGGAGAGTCTTCGCATACAATCACTCAATAGAGCCCAACGTATCAAGAAGTTCAACGAAGACGGCTTCGATAGGCCCGGTATGTGTGCGAACAGCTCTCTGTCCACTCCTCTCTCGTCTCGAGTTATTGTAAACCCATTTTATTGATTGATTTACTGTTTGATCGCCAGATTCGCCGCAATCGTTGAGCGGAGACTCGACTTCATTGATGCGTAAGAAATATGTGAAAACGTCTGAAAACGACTCGACCTGTGGTTCGGTTCACGAGAACGATGGCGACGACACGGAAGGCGCGGACACCGAACGGTCGGCGGCGAGCACTCCACTCATGGATATGTCGAGCGCGTTATCGGTGTCCTCCCATTTGCCAATCTTTCACGAGATTGAACTCGTATTCAAGCCATTACCGCATCAAATGGATGATCAGGACCTGACGCTCACTCAAACGCGTTATATTAAGACCACAACCAACGCATCGGTCGACCATTTAGTCAAATACCTATCGATGCGACACATTCTCGACTCATCCAATGGTAATTCACAGCAAGACGTGAAGGAGACGGCCAGCG